ACATCGAATTCGCAGGTTCGATCCCTGCTGAAGTCTAGAAAAAAAAAGAAGTCTGATGAGGAGATGTGGTGATCTCCGAAATAGTGCTATAACTTCTACCGCTTAGACCTTGTTGCTTTTTCAATTTTTCCTAATAAACAATCGTGGTACAAAGCTCAATAAAAATATTAAAAATAAAATGTTAACAAGCCACAATAACATTGACAAATACATAGTTTAGGAAGAGCCTGCCTGAAACTATACAAAAAAGCAAATAAGCAAATGGATGTATAGAATTGACAACAACAACCACGCTGTCGAGTTTAAATAGCGGCAAATCAGCTGCACTTGATAGTAGTTGGTTGAATAAGGAAAATGAATTAGCAACAAGAGTTTACGGGATGTACATAGCTCAGTGGTTAACGCTTCTGACTTTGAACATCGAATTCGCAGGTTCGATCCCTGCTGAAGTCTAGAAAAAAAAAGAAGTCTGATGAGGAGATGTGGTGATCTCCGAAATAGTGCTATAACTTCTACCGCTTAGACCTTGTTGCTTTTTCAATTTTTCCTAATAAACAATCGTGGTACAAAGCTCAATAAAAATATTAAAAATAAAATGTTAACAAGCCACAATAACATTGACAAATACATAGTTTAGGAAGAGCCTGCCTGAAACTATACAAAAAAGCAAATAAGCAAATGGATGTATAGAATTGACAACAACAACCACGCTGTCGAGTTTAAATAGCGGCAAATCAGCTGCACTTGATAGTAGTTGGTTGAATAAGGAAAATGAATTAGCAACAAGAGTTTACGGGATGTACATAGCTCAGTGGTTAACGCTTCTGACTTTGAACATCGAATTCGCAGGTTCGATCCCTGCTGAAGTCTAGAAAAAAAAAGAAGTCTGATGAGGAGATGTGGTGATCTCCGAAATAGTGCTATAACTTCTACCGCTTAGACCTTGTTGCTTTTTCAATTTTTCCTAATAAACAATCGTGGTACAAAGCTCAATAAAAATATTAAAAATAAAATGTTAACAAGCCACAATAACATTGACAAATACATAGTTTAGGAAGAGCCTGCCTGAAACTATACAAAAAAGCAAATAAGCAAATGGATGTATAGAATTGACAACAACAACCACGCTGTCGAGTTTAAATAGCGGCAAATCAGCTGCACTTGATAGTAGTTGGTTGAATAAGGAAAATGAATTAGCAACAAGAGTTTACGGGATGTACATAGCTCAGTGGTTAACGCTTCTGACTTTGAACATCGAATTCGCAGGTTCGATCCCTGCTGAAGTCTAGAAAAAAAAAAAAAGAAGTCTGATGAGGAGATGTGGTGATCTCCGAAATAGTGCTATAACTTCTGCCGCTTAGACTTTGTTGCTTTTTCAATTTTTCCTAATAAACAATCGTGGTACAAAGCTCAATAAAAATATTAAAAACAAAATGTTAACAAGCCACAATAACATTGACAAATATATAAGATAAGATGAGATAAATTTAATAAAGAACGCTGCTATTAATTCTAAAAGCTTCAGTGT